GACTGCCAAAGGGTTCATGACATAAAAAAAGGTGAATTAGAATCTTTGCACAGAGTGTTGCATTGAGACTTCTGAGAGCCCCAGTCTGTGACTTCTTAGTGGAAGGGTTTATTAACCTCCTAGGTCTGATAAGCACATGCCTATTTCCATGACTGATGTAAAAACCAGAGCTGCTAGAAGAGTCAAAAGGTCAATCACTCTATATGCACAAGGCTCATCTGATTATTACCAAATAAATACTTCAGATATGGGTCCCAGGCCAATGCAGTTATCTTTAGTCCTGAGAAATGACCAATTCAGTATTAAGCACTCCAGCTGGGCATCTGTTTACTCTCTAGCAGGTACAGAGGTTGGGATTGCAGCAGCATCATCTACTACCAAGTCACTTAATGTTATTAAGTCTCAGTTGCCTCATCTACAAGGTGGGGAGAAGATGATTTGTACTACCTAACAGATTAGTGCTTTCCTCACAGAAAATCTCGAGGTAGTAGAAATATTATCCCCAGTTCACTGATGAAGAAACAGACTCAGAGGTGAGATGAGTCGCCCAAGGACACACAACTAATACGAGGTACCCAGAACTATCACCCAGGTCTTCTGACATCAAATGCAGTACTCTTTTCTACTTGCCCACAATAAAGCAGCATGGTTCAGTGGGAAGAACATTCACTACAGTCAGAGAAATGGTTTCGAACTCCACCTCTGATGCCATCTGCGTGGCCAGCCCCTGTCTCTCTCCTGAGCTCTAGTCCCACATCAAACCAAATGCTGCAGAGGCATCATAAACACAGTATGTCCAAAATAGAATTTTCGATCTTCCCCCCCAAATCCATCCCTCTTCTAAACTTTCCAATTTTGTTCTCCCTCTCTCTCTCCAATTAGTTGCCAGGTCCTGATACTATATCTACATCCCTCATAGCTTAGCCTTTCTACTCACACAACCACCTCCTTGGCTCGTCACTACCCAGACTATTGCAACGTCCTTCTAACTGGTCTCCCTTTTTCAAGTCTTCTTTCTTGCTTGGGATGTACTTCCCCTCCTCACCTTGGCTTCTTCCTTCAAGATGAAGCTCAAGAACCACTTTGAAGGCTTTTGGTTCTACCCAACTGCCAGCACTCTCTCTCCTCAAGTATATCTTGCACTTATTTTGCATCTACTTCTGAGTAGGAATTGTTTAATTCTTTATATTGTGTCTCCCCACAAACCTGCAAAGTGTTTGGCGTATAGCAAGCGCTCAATAAATGCTTCTTGATAAGTTCAGTGACCTTGAGCCAGTCACTTAACTTCCTTGGGTCTCAATTTCTCTATTTGTAAAATGAGGGGTCTGGACTAGGTGGCCTCTGGGGTCCCTTCCATCTCTACATTTCGGAATTTTTAATTATACGCCATAACTGAGCTGGTCCTCCTAAAATACTCAGTACTGGGACCATAAGCTTGAATTCACTAGCCCAAACCTGTGAAGAATAAATGTTTGAGCCGAATCCGGGACCTTGTTGACTCTGGATATGGATAGCCGTTGCACTTATTACACTTGACTCTGTCATGCTGCCATCCAGATTCAGAGAGCAAAGAGAAGGCTTTGACAATTCTTTGGAATCTGAAGAACTGTGATTTCCATTTGGCAACTGAATTCTGCAGATTCTTAGGAATTATAGACCATTAATACTAGAAAGAGTACTGTAGGTCTAGGAAATCTGAGACCTGGGCTCTAATCCAAATTTTGCTACTCTGTGACCATGAGCAATTCAATTTAACAAATATCTTTTAAGCTCCTACTATGTGCACAGGAGCTAAGAAAAAAGAAACATGAGAAAGTTAAAGGAGCTTATACTCTACTGGAGGAAACACATAAAAAGGTTTTACAAAGATGTGTGAAGGGAAAGAAAACTATCAATTATAGGTTAATCAGAAAGGCTTCCCATAGTAGGTAGTACCAGAATTTAGCCTTAAAGGAAGCCAAGAGTGGTAAGAGGTAGATATTAGAAGTGTATTTTATGTATGAGGACAACCCAAAAAACCAGGGAGGTTGAATATGGAATGCAGAGTTCAACAGCAAGACAGTTTAGCTGGAATGCTGCTTGCTCCCTTTTCCATTCCCCTTCTGCCTCTATTTCTTCATCTGTAAAATGAAGTCAGACTAGATAATTTTGTCTCTTCAAAACCAAAAATTATATGAAAACTTGAGCCAGTGACTCTATTCATACCTCCTCCCCCTTCTACATAACCTACATGTGGGAACAGAAAGAAAAAAAAATTCAAGGTAAACTTTATTTTTTTATAAAGGACTGTGCTACTAAAAAAAAAGTCACTGGACAGAGGGTGGTAGATACATTTTAAAGTAATGACCCTCAGAGATGGACTTTATAAGGAAAAATGATCTTGAAATAGCTTGTTACCAAATTAGTAAATTTAGTTCAAGTTATCAATAACATTTTAACAGCAGTCAATACAGCATTTATTAAGATCCTACTATGTATTTGTTAGGCATTGTGCTTGAAAACTGTATTCCTGCAATTATAAAATGTGGCCATTTCTACATAAAGAAAGAATACGCACATGGGTTGAAGAAATGCATATGCTAAAATATCAGGCTCCAGGTTGTGTCTCAAATTGTCAACATAACAATAACTTTCAAAATTAAAATTCTAACCACATCAGAAATAGCTACATAAAACGCTGATTTTAAAAGGCCCTGTGATAGGGGCAGTTAGGTGGTGCAGTGGATAGAGCTCCGGCCTTGGAGTCAGGAGGACCTAAGTTCAAATCCGGCCTCAGACACTTGTCACTTACTGTGTGACCCTGGCAAAAACAAAAGGCCATGATTAAGGGCAAAATGTACGAAAAGGTTTAATCAAAGTTTCAAAAATAATGCCTGTTACAACGTCATACAGCTAAAATCAAACATTTACTCAAGCACCTATGTGCAAGATTCCAAGTAGTAGGTTGGAAACTGGTGGGGAGAATTCCTCATTTTCTTCCCTTCTCCCTCCCTTAAAGGAGGGCATGGTATTAATTTGAGAGAGTCCAGTAGTTATAATACTTTATTTGCAAAGAATACCTTTAGAGTACGAAAAGTGTTAAAGAGAATTAAAGCAGTAAGTTTTTGACCCAGTTAAAATTTAGGACTATCAGATGGCTCTGATTTAAAGTACCATCTGAAATGGGAAACTATCACTCCACTTTAATCCAACAAAGTCTTTGAAATAATAAAAGCGGTTTTTACAGGGAAAAACCCTATGGATAATTTTTTTTGCTTTAGGATTAGTTCTCTAATTTCAATCCAAAAGGAATGTTGGAGCAGATTAATGAATAATGGGATTAGTATATAAAATAAGTTTGTAATCACAGCAAAAACAAGTAAGCATAAAGAAAACTGGAAGGTATCTGATAAAAGTGGCTGGCCGTTTCCTTCTGTTCACGGGTTACTGTATTTAAAACCAAAATTAACAGAATGAATGCATTTTATTATGAAGGGCCTATATAAACCATGTCTTACATTGGGATTTCAAGGAACTATTTTCAAACTCCAATCTATACCTTCCACTAAATTACACAGGATCTACGCCAAGGCAGAACTCCCGTCTCGTTTCCTGCCCCCACTGTCCGTCCCCCGCCCACCGGCCCCAGCGGCAAGCACACCAGAAGGTGCTCACGAAGCAAAAGCCAATCTGCAGAAGCCTCCTTGAGGCAAGGTCCACCTCACTACCTGCTCTCTGTAGAAATCCCGCAGCCTAGGTGGGTTCTGAAGGAAAGCAAGTTTCTGGAGGGGACCACGCTCGGGGAAGACCTATCAACTTTAAGGACAGTCTGGGGAAGCTGGTTAAAAAAAAAAAAGCCGTGGGACTAAAGGAGCCCCTAAGAAGCGCCCCCCTCCCACGCGGACCCCCCGGAGCGCCTTCCCCAGCCGGGCTCCGCCTTTCTGCGTGAAGCAGGCCGGAGGCTGGGTCCCTTCGGTTCGGTGCGAGGTGGTACGGGGCTGGGCCGGCCGGCGCCAAGGAGCGCTTCGGTCGGGGCCAGCCGTGTAACAGGTAGGAAAACAACCAAGAGGCGGTGTGAGGAAGTGCCTCAAGAGGAAGGAAGGCAGGAAGGAAGGGAGAAAGGGAGGGAGGAGGAGAGGCTTGAACCAGGCCGTGGCCTACGGGCAGGGAGACGGAGTCCAGGAGGCGAGTGAGCGTACAGACGCTCCGGACTCGGGGCTGGCCGAGGGCCGGCGCGGGGACGGGGGGAGCCGCCGCCTCTCCCCCAGACACCAGGCGGGGGAGAAAGAGGGGGAGCTCGCCTCGGCTCCCACCAAGCCCGCAGCGCAGACAGCCCCACGCCCATTCCGTGGCCGGGCACCGAGTGCGGAACTCGGGGGCCCGGGCGTGGGCAGCGGCGGCGGGGTGCGGCCCCGGGCTCTCCGGGACACACACACCCCCCAACCCCGGGGCGGGGGCGAGGCGGAGGAGTTTGAGAGAAGCAGCAGGTGGGGCCCGAGTCGCGGAGAGACGCCCGGGGGGCTGCCGGCTCAGCAAGCGGCCAAGTCCCGGGACGGGAGGCGAGCAGCGGGGCGGGCGGGCGAGCATGCGGGGGCCGCTGGGCGAGGAAGGCCCAGGGAGGCGCCGGCACCTCGGATTGGGGGGCCGGGGAAGGGAGGGAAGGAGGAAGACCCCGGGAGGGGACGCCCCCGCCGTTGGGCGGTCTCTTACCTCAGGCGGTTCTCGGGTCCCTCCGCGCCGGGCAAGCTACTCCGCGAGCCGCGCGTCCTAGGACTTAGGCAGTTTCTACACAAGAAACCGGCGGGCAGGCAGGCGGGGAGCGGGAGCGCGGGCGGGCGGCGGCGGTGGCGGCGGCGGCGACGGTGGCGGCTGGAGGGCGGGTCGCAACGTGCGCGCTCCCGAGCCCAGGACGGGTTCGAGCCGTGGCTAGCCGCGGTCACGCTGTCAGAGCCCGGCCCCTAGGCAACGATTGCTCCAAATCACGTAACCTCCTGAAGAGGACGCCGTTTAGCCAATCACAAACGCCGCGCTGGGCATCACGGGAGCCACAGGGCTATAAAAGACCCGGTTACTATTTTGTGCTCCCGAGTCACCCACTCTATAGGTAGCTTGGGGGTGGTGGTGGTGTTTAGCAATTGTGTGCGCGTGCGTGTTTTCGTGTCATCCGTTCTACTCCACCTTTAACTGCCACCTCTTTGCGCATGCGTTATGCCTTTTCCTTTTCGTGCTGGGATGATAGGGGCTGCTTAAGCCGTCTGATATTTCAGCCGTGCCCTCCAGAAAACACGGCGCCTGCGCAGTAGCCGCTGCAGTAACCGCCTCCGGGGCAAGGTGGGTGAGCGTGAAGTTGATTAGCATGGCGGCTGAATCAGGGTCTGAGCCGGGCTGGGAAGCCCTGCCCACGGCCGTCCTGGGCGCACTGAGCACACTGAGCAGCGAGTTCCTGCGCGAGTGGGAGGCGCAGGACATGCGTGTGACCTCTTCAAGCTGCTGCTCTTATGGCTGGTGCTGAGCCTCCTGGGGATCCAGCTGGCCTGGGGGGTGTACGGAAGCACCGTGACTGGCCTGTATCACCGCCCGTCCTCGGGTGAGCCGCCCCTCCCCTGCAGCCCTCGCTCCTCCGGCCCTACGGCCTGTCTGACTGTGCCACAGAAATCGCGCCCCCCCCCGCCTGTACCACTCCGGGGGGGGGGCATGCTGTACGAAGTTCCCTGGTAGTTCCCCCCCACCTCCCCAGGCCTCGGCCTGTACCACTACTCATCCATCCTGGCGGGCCCGTGCCGGGACCCTCTCCTGCCTCGGTACCCTCTCCTGCCTCGGTACCAAGTGGCAGCAGTGCTAGTTGTCTCTAAAGTCCATCCACTCACCCTGGGGATGCCCCCTCAGCAGGGGATGAGGCTAGGCCACCTTTCCTGAAGTTCCAGATCTCAGTTAGTTGGACAGCCCTGAATGCCCTTCTGACCACTGTTGGCTGGGGCCAGGGGTCCAAATGCTAAATCTTCCAATCAATCAGCCAGCATTTTTTAAGCACCCATTATGTGCCAGGCTACAGCCCTGCCAGTGTTGCTATGGCAATGAGAAGACCTGGATTTCTCTCCCACCCTTTGGCTCTGGTCACACCAGCTTCCTCTGCCCTGAATGTTAATCCTGTTACCTCCTCTAGGTCTGGGAGGCCAGAATGGCTCCACTCCAGATGGTTCTTCCTTGTATCCTCCGTGGTAAGTGCCTCAGCCCAAGGTTTAGCCATAACCCCTCTTGCCCTTAACACCTTACATTTATATTCTATTTAACAGTTGACAAAGCACTTAGCCCTCAAGAATCCAGGTATGTATGTAGGTGATGTTACACACATTTCCCAGGTGGGATCATAGCTATACTCATAGCATCTTAGAGCTGGAAGCAGAGCTGTGTAGAGCATGGGACTTGGCCTTGGGAAAACTGGCTGCCAAACTTGTGGAATCCTAGACCTAGAGCTCAAAGGGACTTCTTGAGGTGACCTCATCTTTCCTTCTCAGAATTTGCAGCCTCACAAGAAGTAGATTTGCCTAGGCTTGCATAGATAGTAGCAGAGGGCTGGATTTGAACCCAGGTCTTTTTTCATGCTCTGTGATTGACTAGGCAACTGTCTTCCACTCTGAACCTTAGTTTCCTTATCTGTAAAATGTGAATGATACTTTTTGAAAATCTTTAAAGTTTAGCTGTAGAAATTCATGGAGTCATCTTAGTCTGATACCTGTGATTTTACAGGCAGGAAAACTGATACCTAGAGAAGGGAGGTGATCATTCAAGGCCTCACAGGGTGATTCAGTGGCAGAGCCAGGACTGGGACTCAATTCACCAACTATTTAAATTCAGTATCATTTCCACTATTCCATAAAAGTTCAGGATGTGTGACTGGGGAGGGGGCTGAGGAAGAGGATGGTAGAAACAGGCGAAGCTGCCTTCCTTTGGTTATCATAGGCCCTTAGAGCTAGATCTGGAAGGGCCCTCAGAGACTGGATTCAAGCTGCTAAAAGTCTCAGCCCCAGGCTAAATATGCAGACAGCTCAGCATTTCAGTCTTAGCCCCCGTCTCCCGTGTTCCCTTCGCATAATCTCGGTGTGTTAGCTTTGGCTCTTCTTTCTTCCTCCCTTTTCATATCTGGTCAGTTACCAGGTCCTGTCAACTCCACCTCCACAGCTTTGCCCTTGGAGGCTCTTTATTCCTGCTGGCACTACCCTAGCTTATGCCTTCACCTCCAGTTTCGGGCGTCTCCTTATTATTGGACCTCTTTATTATAAGACCTCTTCCTTCTCTCCTTATCCTCCCCCTTCAACCTACCTTTCATACCTTTGTCAGAGTAGTATTTCTTATATTTTTATCAGGTCATATAAGTCATCTGATCATAAAGACTTCAATGGCTGACTAACATTTGAGCATTCAAAGCCCTTTGTAACCTGGCACCGCTTTGCTTACTTTTCCAGTTTTATCTCATGTTACTCCCCAGCCACGCTGAGTAACCCCCTACACCCTGAAAGCACTGGGTGCTCTCAGCACTCCTTGCCTTTACTCAAGTATATGCTATGCCTAGAATATATATATCTTTCCACTTTGCCCTCATTTTTTTTTTATTGCTTTATTGATTTTTAACCTTGCTGTCATTTCCCAGTATTCCTCCCTCAATAAAACCCTACCATGTGACAAAGTAGTGTGGGTAAACAAAACAGACAGGCATGTTGACCATATCTAACAACCTCCTTCCATAACTATGTCCACTACCTGTCTGCCAGGAATGGGGAGGAGTGTTTCACCCCAGTCCTCTGGAGCTAGGATTGGTCACTGCATTGAGCAGAGTTCTGGCAGCTTTCAGTACATAGCGTGGTGGTCACTGTCCACTGTTCTCTTGGCTTTGCTTGCTTCACTCTGCCTCAGTTTTTACATATCTTTCTAAATTTCTCTGAATTCTTCCTATTTGCCATTCCTTATGGCACAATAGTATTCCATTATATTTGTGTATTACATTTTGTTCAGCCATTAAAAGTACACAGAGGAGAGGCAGAATGATTTCATCTGATCTGTTCCACTGGGCAGGTGAGTTCTGCAGCTCTGAATCTCATAGAAAAGGCCATCAGTGACACTATTTTGACAAATTGATTACATAGTTGACTTTTCCTTTTCCCCCAAGGGTAACAGTAAATTAAGCTACTCTCTCAGTGATCCCAGTGTTATAGAACAGTTCAAGTTTTTGAAAAGCCACCGTTTTTTCGTATTCATATTTTATTTTATGTATTTATTTGTTTGTTTGTTATTTTTGTGGGGCATTTGGGGTTAAGTGACTTGCCCAGGATCACACAGCTAGTGAGTATCATGTGTCTGAGGCCAGATTTGAACTCAGGTCCTCCTGACTCCATCCACTGCCCCATGTAGCTCCTACTAGGGTAATCTCCTACCCATATTTTAAACCTCAGCCTACCCAAGTCCTGCCCCTACCTTCCTGATGTGTCTGTCTCTGCTCCTGTCCCCACCCCCCCACATACTTCCCCTGCCCAGTTGATTGGGAAGGTTGTAGTTTCTAAGACCAGAACAGCCGGGGCTCATGAAAGCATTCCTATGACAAGGCTTTGTGAAGGTGCTGAAATTTCAATTCATCAGATGTTTACTGACACTTGCTCTGTACAGAGCACTGTGCTGGGATGTGGAGAGGAGCCGTCATGGAATGCCCAGTATATTAGGAATGATGTGATCTATAACATGGGGGTGGGGGGTGGTATAGATCTTTTCTATGTCCCCTTCCCACTTTTATATGCTCCGTGAAGGTACTCAGCTGTTCTTTCTCATCTCTCTGTGCTGAGCACCCAACACAGTGCCTTGCACACAATAAGTGTTTTAATGTTTTTTAAAGTGGCTGAAATGAAAAATACTGGTTTAAGTTTCATAGCCCTTCATAAAAATCATGTGAAGTAGGTAATGTGGGTAAGGTATTGTTGTCCCCATATTGCAGATAAGAAAATTGAGGCACAGAGAAGTACAGTGATTTATTTGCCCAGGAGTGAAGATCTCAGACTGTGTCTCTTGGCCAGGGCTCTTTTCACTCTGCCACATTTCTTCTCCTGGTATATGATGGGTATATTAGCGCTAAGCAAGGTGCTGTGGGAAATTTGCCAGGGAGAAGGCCATTCTCAATTACAGAGGGCTTCTTAGAAGACATGGCATTTGAGGTAGACTTTAAAGGATGCCCACTCTGAAAACATATCCCAGAGAGCCGAGTCATAGACCACAGCACAAACCCCAACTGCTCTAGCAACGTTGTGTGTGTCTAGATTGGAGGAGTTGGGGGAGCCTTTTGGAATCATCCGTGGCCGCCTCCTAGCTGACTCACGTCAGCTCTTTGGTTCTCGATGGCTCTCTAAGAGAACCAGTTCAGACAAGAAACCTGCATGCTACTGGACTGGACATCATCTCCAGATGATGGTTTAAACATACAAATATAAAGTGCTACTCTCTTTACCTTGTTTCAGCAGGACTTAATCTAGCCCTGAGCAAAGGAGACAGTCTTCCTAGGAACAATTTTCCCAGTGCCATAGGGGTGACCATGACTCAACCATGTTCACCTGGGCCTCATTTCCTCACACTGTAAAGTGAAGAAGTTGGACCAGATAACACTGGAGGTCTGCCAGTTCTAGACCTGTGATCTCATGAATTTCTAGAGGTTCCCTATATCCCAGAAGAAAAAAACAAAAACTCTTTTGCCTGGCATTCAAGGCCCTCAGGAGCCTGAAGCCTCCTGGTCTAGCCATCCACATTTGATATTTCTCCTCTTCATACCCTGTGTGTGTGTATATATTTACACAGCTAGTGAGTGTTATATGTCTAAAGCCGGATTTGAACTCAGGTCCTCCTGACTACAGAGCTGGTGCTCTATCCACTGTGCCACCTAGCTGCCCCTGTACCCTCTGTATACCAGCCAGCCTTGGGACCCAGCCCTCTTGACTTAGTGTCTATTTATACTATTTTTATCTGTGAGAGGAATGAAAGTTTTTACAACTCATTCCAGAGTAACTGGAAAGAGCCAGTGAATCTGGTTGTGTGGAGCAGGTGTTTCTGCTCACATACTTAAATAACATTACTCCCTTAATGTATATAAACAAAGACTATGGGCATTTGGGCACTGAATATATCCAAGCTGAATTAAGTCTAGAAATAGACCTCTCCTTGGCAACATTTTTGATGCAAGTACCTGTGATGCCCAAGTTTCAGTGATAGGTGCTCAAGTCTTCAAATGAATCTATACTTGAAAAAAAGAAAATAATTTCTTGGGACTCTGGATTAATAACTTAAATGTAGAAACATTCCCTAGTCCTTCTGAACCTAGCAGACCTGCCAATTTGTTGGAATTTAGGTTGGAAATTATAATGAAACAAGGCCAGCTGAAATACTTTCCTCCCCTATTCTTTCATTTGGCCCTAGTGAACAGAGTAAGTACCCATTAGTGGGAACTGAATCTTATAATTGGAAGGTGTCTCATAGGACATCTATAATCCAATCCCTGACTGAAGAAATTCTGTGATGAGGAATCTTTTCTCCCAAGACATTCCATTTCACTTTTGGTAGAGTTAAATTTTGTTACTCCTAACTAACTACTACTAATACAGCACTACGTGGCCTGTCTGTCCCATGTCATATTTTGCGTGGTAGATGTTTACCATAATCTAATTCTTGCTGAAGTCGATGGGGTATTTATACAATTCTAGAGTATTAGAACTGAAACAGGAATCCCCTTTGGGACTCAGAATCACAACATATTAGGGCTGGAAGGTGATCTCAGAGATCATCTAGTATAATGGAACCTGCAGTAGAATGAGTATTGGTTTTACAATTGGCAGGAACTGGTTTCAAATCACAGTTCTGCTATTGATCATGTGACCTTGGGTAAGTCCCAAGGCCTCTGATTGCTCATTTATAAAATGAGAGTGACAGGAGGGAGAAGGCTCTCTTAGGTGTTTTAGAGCTTTAAATCGTGTCTGAGGCTGAAAGCAGGCAGAGTGTGACTTAGTACAAGATGAATTATTCCTACAATTAGAGCTTTCTGCTGTAAATGGAAGGAGCTAAGGTTCTCAGGTTCCTGTTCCTGGGAGTCGTCAAGCAGAGATTGAAGATTGACTGTAGGAAATGTAGAACAGGGGAGGCCTGCTGGACACTGAGGATACAGAGACAAAAACCAAATGGCTCCTGCCCTGAAGGGGCTCACATTCTATTTCAAGAAATAGACAAGGCAGTAAGCTTGTCCCAATCTGAAATGGAATTGGAGCCCAGCTCTTAGAGACTTCCAGTCCTGGAAAGGGCTGAGATTCCTAAGTTTCAGGCAGAGCAGTCTCTTTCCTGGCCAGATTGCTACTATCATAGGTCAGAACCCAGGGAACACTTCTTTAAAATAAATAAAGTCTCCATAAAACCTTGCTTAACTTCATGGAGTGTGAGCTTCTGGTATCAGGGCAAATACTTTTAATATCCTCTGTTCCTGTGTCTGAGCTGAGCCAGTTAACTCATTGCAACCTATCTCTTAGGCAGTATGGAAACTATTAGATTGCAAGTTCCATGAGGGCAGGGATTATGTCTAATTAAATCTTTGTGCTGTCCCTCCCTACCATTTACCACAGAGCCGCACACAGATATTGCCTGGATATCAGAGAATATAGAGGCCTGGAATGGAACTTAGAGATTGGCTCTTCCAACTAAACCAAGGAAGTTATACAGTTTACCCAAGTTCATGTAGATACCAAGAAACAGCTAGAACTTGAACCCAGGACCTCTGATATCCTACTGATTGGGGAATAGGAAGGGGATGGTATTTGTTTGCTGGAAGTGCCAGGCAACCATGATGTTTTATGTGGGAATGATATATCTATTTTCTCTTCCCAATTCTTTCAGGGAAACTTCAGAAAACGAATCAATCAAAACCCATCGTGAATGAGGGAAGAAGGTTTCGCAGGCCTGACTTTCCTGCTGCCTCTGCACCAGCAGCCTGTCTCTGTTGGATTCCTATCTGCCAAGGGTCCCAGTGACACTTAGCAGTTGGGGTTTGTTTCTGGGGAGATACCATTCAAGGGAATGGTGTGGGTTTGAGGAAAGCAGAGGAAACAATACTGGAGTCACATCCCAGAAAGTCTCATCACTTCCTCCCCCCGTTTTCCTTTCTAGAGATACTTTCCCCTACTGGGGAAAGGACGGGCCCTGAGACACCCAACCCTAGTGGAAGCATGGCCTGCCTGACATCTTCTTGCTAGCCTTCTCTCCCTTGTGGCCACCAGTTGTGGTCCCTTGACAGCTGACACCTTGGGGCAACCCATGCCTGGAATGGTTCCAGGAGGTGGTGGAAAGAAGGATCCTCAGCCTTGCTTTCCTTTTCCAGTTAAGTCCTTTTCAATAAGGCTGAGACTTACAGCCAGCACTGTCACAGTGGGGTGCTACCATTATGAGGTAGCTTTGGATAAAAAACATTTCTGCTGTGCAGGCCTGTGGTGAGTTCTCTAGTAGATCTCATTCTTGAAGGGGAAAAAAAGTCCTGTGACCACCTAATTCCTCCCACCTTCCAGGACGCCTTTGGGGAAGAGACTTGCCCAGGGCACGAGTAACCTCCAATTCCAGCCTTGCTGAAACCCTTCTGGGGCCAGCCTGGGTCTGAGAAGTGAGACAGGACTAGACTGGAACAGTTTCACTGACTTAGACGGGCATGCTCCTAATCCACTTACACATACTGCATTATCTTCCACCTGGGGCTATACTTACAGCTTCCCCACATAGGGGCAATTGACTTCACAAACGCATCCAGGGTATGGGCCTAGAACTAGAGTAAGACTTAAGCTCTGATGGTTGTATTCCTGATGCTTGACAACAGATCAGATTGGACTCTTCAGCAAGTGCAGAATGACTTTTTTTTTTTTTGGGCGAGGTAATTGGGGTTAAGTGACTTGCCCAAGGTCACACAGCTAGTAAGTGTCAAGTGTCTGGTCTGAGATTTGAACTCAGGTCCTCCTGACCCCAGGGCCAGCGTTCTATCCACCTAGCAGCCCCATGACTGTCTTTCTGATGGAATTTTCTTCATTCCCTCCTGCTGTCGTAGTCTGGGAAAACTAAAAAAGAGACAAAAGATGTGTAGGACCACAGCCAGCCTGTGGCCTGAAAGTCGACCATTTCTTTAGCTGCTCTCAGCTCTTCCACATACCCAAAGGGCCTTTGAAGGGAATAGGCTACAATACCCCATGCTCTTAAGTAGTACTGGTTTAATGTAGCCAAAGGATTTAGCAGCAAGAGGCTGGGCAAGGCCAGCACTAGCTTGCAGGAAAGATGTTTTTCTCCAGGGCCTCATTGCTCACTAGGCAGTGCTACCTCTTCACAGCATGAAGCTTTGAGCAATAAGTGTTCTTACCTGTAAGTTGCATATTTTGGAGCCTCATCCTGGGGGAGGGAGGGGGATATGAGAAAAGGCCCACTGAAACATGATTTCTCATTTGTTATTAAAACTTGACAGGCCAGCCATCGGCTACCTCATTTCTCCCCTACTATGGCTTCTATATCTTTGCCTTTTACCCTTCTCCACTGAATCAGTGGTACAAACTAATAAAAGCTTATGTTGTGACACTTTTTCTAAATGGTCTCTACTAATTCATCTTTAAAGTGTGTTGGGAGAAGATTGTATTTGACCAATCCACATCTCTTCTAGATTACCTTTTGACTCACTGCATCTGTCTGCCTACCTTTAATCTTGCCCCTTGATATTTAAACAAAACAATACTTGTGGGTCTTAACGTGAAGTTGTGTCCATCATATTGCATCATTCAGAATAGGAAAACGATCTTTCCAAATGACTGTAAGTGAAAAGAGTTTTCAGGGATAAGTCAGTGGCCTGAAAGACCAGCTGTACCTGCTTAAACTCAGCTGACACCCCACTAGGATGTGGGCACAGTTTGGAACAGAGAAGCCTGATGCATTCATGACAAAGAGGTCCTTCTGGGGATGATTTTACCTTCTACCCATAAGCTATCTTTAATACAACTGGCAGAACAGCTACTTTGTACTACCTTGAGGAAAGAAAATCATGAGTTGCACCTTGGGCATGGGTGCAGTTTTACCATGGACAAACTGACCTCCAAGTCACTTCCCTCTTTCTTGCTGGGCCTCTTATTCCAATAAAATGCAAGGAGTGAACTGGATGGGCCAACAAGCTTTCCATTTTACAGCTAGAATCATTCTACAATTCCTGCCTCCTACCTTGCTGGCTGTTTAGAGTATCTTAACAAACTTTTGGTCTGAACATAAGTGTTCAGATTAAGACTCAACTGGGAGTGCATAGACCCCAACTTGGAAAGGAGACAGGCCTGACTAACCCTGGACGACAAACTCTGATGGGCATGTCACCTGCTACCATCCCCACCTTGTGTTCACTTAAGGAAATACAGCCTCAGAGGTAAGAAGACCTATTTGTGGTTCATCAAATTTGGCTGACAATTTTACAGGATTGTGTTATCCTTATTTTCACAGAGGGAAACTGGCCCAAAGAGAATGACCTTTCTGTAAGAGTGGGAGTCAAGAGTGGTTATATCTTGTGGCGAAACCACAGGTTATCAATGACTCATGCAAAAGACTCCCCAAATCTCAAATAGCTAGCAATGGCATAGCACTTTACAGGTTTGCAAAATGCTTTCCATGGGATCTCTACAACAGTCCTGTGAGGCAGGGGCAATCAACTTCCCTATTTTACAAAGGAGGAAACTCGGGCACAGTGAGAAGTCATTTGTCCAGGGTCACCCAACGAGTCAATGTGTGAGACAACATGTGACCTTGGATTTTCCACAATCCCCAGTCCACCACCTAAATGCCTACCTTTTCTAGTTACGACCTGAATGAGCCAGCCAGTGCATCTCAGGGACCTTATAAAGGGAACCGATTTAGGATTGGTTCCAAAACAGGAGCTCCTCTTCAAATCAAGCTATCACTTTTCCTGTTTCCAAGTGGCTCAAATTCATACAGGGAAGGAGTGTGGAACCACCCCTAGGTCTAGTGGTGTCCACCTGAAGAAGGCATGAACTAAAGACTTGGACATTAAATAAACAGACTAATGACTTTCTTGGAAATTATCAGTAGATTTCTTTATCCAAGGAAGTGATAAGGCAACAACAGGAAATGGTCAAGCCCCATCCAGTACAGAAGGTGATCACAGGGAACAGGACTGGCTCTTGGAATGTCCCAGGATTTAGAATAGTCATGCAAAAGACTCCAACCCTCCCTGGCCAAGGAAGCAGGGATACATTTGTGAAGTAGTCCCATATTTATTTAAAGGATGGCTGCCTTAGCATTGGAACCTCCCAGACAACCTGTAAGCTAAGAAGGGGAGGGCCCCTTCTCAAATCTTTCATCATGTATCTGCAATCATCTATTTAGCCAAATTCACACAAAAGTGTCAGCTCATCAGCTCAGGTGTAGATTTTTCACACCATGGCATCATCTGTGGCAAATACTGGACACCTGGCCTTTCCTCCCTGCCTAACATACTTTGGGACTGCCTCTGTCAGATATTCTGGGGCAAATGCATGTCCCTCTCTAGGAATCTCACACCACTGGATCATCCAGAGCACAGCAGTCTCTATTCACAGTACAGGCTTCATAAATGTTGGTTGAAGGAATGAATAAATGAGTTAACATGTACGCCCAGAGAAGGCAAACTATAAGTTATATAACATGTAACTAGGAAGGTAAACTGAGAAGAGAAGGAAAATCACAAGACAAGAATTAATCTCTGTCCCTCAGTTCATGAAATTTACTGGTTGGATTAGCTAGTCTCTATAAAGTCTATTCAGCAAATATTAAGTATGTTATGCTCAAGGCACTAAACCCTGTGATTCTATAATTGGACTTGTTCATCTTGGCCACAGAGGGCAGAATTAAGATGGGGTAAGGGTAAAGTTGTAGAGGCAGATTTTGACTTACAAGGAAAAAATTCTCAACACAGAAGGCTTATCAAAAAGTGAATGGGGCTTCCACTCTTCAAGCAGAGGCCTAGGGTTTGGTAATGTTAGAGATGTGATGCATACTTCAGGTACCATTTTGGGTTAGATTCTCTCTGAGATTCTGCAGTTTGCTTTATCTAAAAGTTTTGAATATCCTCTAGCCCAGAAAACTGAGTTGAGTGTTTAAAAACATGGGAGATGGCAGCTGGCATTTGGTCAGCACTCACAGAGCAAGATTCCTTGTGGAAAGAAGGGTGGTGCTTCATGCCTTCCTGGCCACCTCTAGGACACCTTAAGGTGGCTTCCCCAACCTTGGGTGCTCAATCTTTTGGTCCATAACCACTGGACTACCTTTATCATAACCATAGATCCCATTTCTGCATCATTCTAAGATTTACAAAGCACTTTTCCTCCCAATAGGTACATGAGGTAGGTGACACCAGGACAATTATCCCTCATTTGACAACAGAGGAAACTGGCTCAAAGAGAAGTGATTTGGCCAAGGTCATATCAAGAATAATTAGCAGAGCCAGAATTCAAACCTAGGTCCTCCAACTCCAAACACGGTTCCTTCAACATTGTGCTGCCTCAAATTTTCTTCCCTCCCCAGCCCCTGACTTCTATACCCATCTTTCTCTAGAAGGCCCTGGAAGAACTGCTCACTATCCACTTAATAGTTAGGACTTCCTCCCTCTCCCAGACAATACCAACTAACCATAGGGAGGGCTGTGCTGTGTGTCTCATTCAACCGTAAAGGAAGGCAGGAAGAAGATGACCTCGAAGGGTCAGGTCACTTCAAGGTATAGTAGCGGGTGGGCACAAAAGGCATCTTGCTAACTACTGCCTCCTGCTTCTTCTTCCGTACTTCCACCAACAGCTGGGTGCCAATTTTACTGTATTTTCCATCCACATAACCCATAGCTACATTCTTCTTCAGGCACGGAGAGGGGCAGCCACTGGTGATTTCCCCTGGGAAGAGCATAGGAAACAAGGCATGGAATCAGAGAGCAGAGGACATGCCTGTGCCCATACAGGAGACAAAGCGGATCATGTCTGTCATACACACTAGTGTAGTGGGAAGGCTGGCTTAGTTCAAGCACCACCTTCTACAAGAATCCTTTCCTGATTGGCTCCCCAGCTGTATGTGCTTTCCAACCAAAAACATACTATTTATCTTGTGTGTTTTTACATAATACTTATACAGGGTGCCTTTTCTGATGGAATGTAAGCTCCTAGGTGCCAGAGGCTACTTCATGTTTGTGGCTTTTATCCTCAGCATCTAACAGCACCTACCACACCTGCACATCACAGCTGGCGACCTGTATACAGTGCACCAGCCCAACACCCGCATCACATTTTGAGTATTTGTAGGTTGAAGTGATGATATCTTCTTGGGTACCTCATCTGCTGATGCAGACTGGGCACTGCAACAGTTAGGATCTTTGCCTACCAGTTTTGGCCCAGAGACCATGAAGCAACCAGAAGCATTCCTGTCTTCTCACCTGAGGGGGACCTGGGGTCTTCAGCAGCATGGACCAGTCCCACCCACCTACTGATAGGGACAAAGGGACTCTGTAGTAACCAACCTAAATTGGATACAGGACCCTACCCGCCCACCTCCTGCAGCCATCTAAAATGCTTCCCTCCCACCGCTTTGGACCCATACACACCCCAGGATTGCTCTACAGCTACTTGAGGCCCACATTAGGGGCCCTCAACTCCCTTTCTCTGAAGCTTGGCCCCAGGATCCCTTCATAGCTCTCAGCCCTTACCATCACAGATCTACTCCCACCACCTAACCTGACTCCTGGATATCCTTTGTCCTCAGACATTCAAGACCATGCCCAGTGGATGACATGAACCCAGAGACTGAGTAGTAGCCTCTTGCAGTATCCCTGAACACGCAGCCACCTGGAGGACTCCACCTGAGACCTTTTGGATCTCCCGCCCAAAGACCACTCCACTCAGCAGCCAGTCAGCAGTCACAGGTATCACCTCATACTTACCAAACAGTTGTTGACTAATTAGGAAAAAATTAAAAAAAACCAAAACACTAGATGTGGAGTCAGAGGACTAAAAAAAAAAAATAACCCTTCGGTTCAAACCCCAGCTCTGCTTCTTCTGTGGTTCTATGGACAAGTCCTGTCCTTTCCCTGTAAAATGATGGGTCTGGCCTAGGTGATTTCTAGGTTCTCTTTTAGTTCCAAATCCTATTCCTTTCCTTCTCCTCAATCTTTCCCTTGGGGGCAGGGTCCAGATGTAGGTGCCCTCCCCGAACAAAACCACCCCAACCCCAAAAGGCGAGGGACAAACCTGCTAACAGCTTCTGCCTACACAGTTCAAAATAATTAGCATTTGGATGGAGTTTTAAGGTTTGCAGAGCACTTTACAAGGATTATCTCATCTTTATCCTCACAATAACCCTGTGAGGTAGGTGCTCTTATTATCCCCATCTTAGAGGTGAGGAATCTTGAGTTCAGAAAGAGGTTAAGTGACTTGCTCAGGATCACATAGCTAGTAAGCATCTGAGGCCAGATTTGAACTCAAGAAGATGAGTCCTCCTGATTCCATGCCCAGCTGATAACTCATGATCACAGTTCAAAGCCAAGCCCAGTCTTTGGGGAAGGGATATTTAGGATCATGGGGCAGCTAGGTGGCACAGTGGATAGAGCATTGGGCTTGGAATTGGGAAGACTTATCTTCCTGAGTTCAAATCCAGCCTCAGACACCTGCGAGTTCTGTGACCCTGGACAAGGCAGTTAACCCTGTTTGCTTCAGTTCTTCATCTGTAAAATGAGGTGAAAAGGAAATGGCAAACTATTCCAGTGTCTTTGCCAAGAAGACCCCAAATGGGGACACAAAGAATCAGGCAGGGCTGAATAACAAACAACTGAGGATCACAGGATTCTGAGCGAGAAGGGACCTCCTAGATTGCCTGGTCCGAAGGAGGAAATTCAGGCGGAGAGATGAAGGCCCTTGCCCAAGGTCATCCAGACAATAAAGAGCAGAGCTGGGATTTGAACTTGGGTCTTCTGAGTACAGATCTTGTGTTCTTTCTATCACAACCCTCTCCTCACTTGGGGGCACATTGGAGAGGGTGGCATTTACGTCTGCCTTGCCCCCAGCTTTCCCCTGCTTCAACCTACCAATGACAGCTCCCTCTGTGTTCATGATGAGGCTGTGCTGGCGAATAGGTGCTCCTGTAGACGTCAGCCCCACACGCTTACGGGCCACTTTCCCTTTTATCTGGGGGACCACGATGGCAGCACCAGGGAAGTCCATGGCAGCCCTGCGTCGTTTTCCTGTAAACAGCCCCCACCAGACAGGGATGTTTAGCATTCTCCTGGGGGAATTCATCACTTTCTCCTTTACCTCCAGGCTTCAGTCCACTGCCAGTCAGTACTTAATGAATATTTACTGAATAAGTGATTTAGAGTCATGAATGAATTAAAGTCTTCCTATCTAAATCATACCCATGTACCCTTCACAGGTGCCCTCTTGAAAACTTTCTTTGAATCCTGCCCCAACAGTAATGGCTTGCCCCATCAAGAATTACAGACTGTTACAACTTAAAAAACAAGAGCTCTCCTTTCTGTAATGATTTAGGGTTTACAAAACACCATCACCTTCATCTTTACAAAACACTCCATACAAGAACTCTGTGAGGCAGACAGTAAAGTATTATTCTCATTTATAGTGGAGTACATCTCGATTCCTCATTCCCATCCATCCTCCATCAGCTGCCAAAGGATCTTCCTAAAATGCAACTCTAACCATGTTACTGTCCCTATCTCAAAACTCTAGCAAAAAAAAAAGATCTAGAAAACACAACAGATTTAATCTTGATCATGAAAGTCAAGGAAAAAAATCACTGAGTCATTTTTCCAGCCCTACTTAGCATAAGGAGACAGAGAGGTTTGTGGACACTGGAGACAGGGTCTGGCCAACAGCCTACTTCGGGGAGCATTCCAGTTCAAAGAGAGGGCATGAACCAGTGTAAGAAAAGGTCTCATATCCAGTACAAACATGCCTAAACTTGTGTATAGATCCAAGGTACACTGGGGAAGGGATCTGTGCCTAGGAGTAATGTTCCAAGGAAACAGGTGATTAGGAGCCCTAGGTTGTATACTAACAAGAAGAAGCAAATTCAAAAGCAGGCAGCAGATGTAGGCTGAGACCCCAGGAGCAGATTGGGGTCTCAGCTCCAGGTTTTATCCTAGTCTGAAGCCTGCAAAAAAAAAAAAATAACCAGGGCAAGAATCCCAGGACAAAAGAAAAACTATAATTCTGTCATTCAGAACCAGCAGAGCCTTCTAACTAGCTAATAGTGGCTGAGTCCAACAGTGGTCTGGTGAAACTCCAAAAAGGACCCCCTCTAGGTTCATTGCTCAGACCAAAGCTGGAGTTGCAGAGTTCACACCAGAGGAGGCATTATCTGATCATTATCAGATTTTGCCCAGGATCAAGATCACTTTGGGAGCACTGAAAGCTTGCAGGTCTCCAGCCTGAGCTGTCCCTAGGAACCTGAAATAACACAGTCCTCCATTCCCCAAGAAAGCAGCAGTAGGATCAGCCCAGGTATTCCCACCAAAGTTACACAAAGCATGGCCCTAATAAAGTCCAAACTCAGGAAGTAAGCTGGAAGAATGAACAAATGGAAAAAAATCCCCACCATAAAAATCTATTATGGTTACAGCGACACTCAAGATACAAACCCAGAAGAAAAGAATAACTTCAAAATATCTACAAGTAAAACCCAGTTTGGGCATAAATTCAATTAAAAATTCCTGGAAAAGATGAAACAAGAGTTTAAAAAAAAGAGCAAAAAGGTTATTATAAAAGAAATGACTCACTAGAGAAAAAAATTGGAAGAGAAGTAAGAGCTATGGAATAAGAAATTAGAAAAATAATTAACAGTGTGGCACAGGAGGTACAAAACCTGGCCCAAGCAACAAAATCCCTGAAAATTACAATGGACCAAATAGAAGTTAATGATTACATGAGACAACAAGAAATACTAAAACAAAGTCAAAAGACTAAAAAGCCAGAAGAAAATGTAAGGTACGTCATAACAAAAAACAAGTGACCTGGGATTGAGGAGAGAAAATTTAAGAATCATTATACTACCTGAAAGCCATGACCAGACTTAGATTCTTATAATCTAGACACTGTTCAGACTCCTTAAGAGTCTGCCCAATATGACGGATGTTCTAATAAACCTGTCTTTGGCTGAAAGAAGGCTAGGGTCAAATTCTTTCAGGCAGTACCTGTGTGTTGTGATTTTGGGGTCCCAGCACCCCTAAACCACATCATTTTGGTGGCCCATACGGGGAAACTACCTAACCCCAACTTTTTCTCCAGCCAAGACTTGAAGGAAAGAGGGGCATGGGGCAGCTACAGTGTGGGCCCCACTGGCAATGGGCTTGGACCCTAAGGCAACCTTTGCCTGGAAGCATCACCCAGGTTCAGCACATCCTGCTCAAGGTAAAGAAGCTGCCCTCTGAACTTGGGGAATGTTACCCTCCTGGCTATTCCTGAGTCTGGATATGAGGTGGATTTGATACTACATTGTTGGAAAACTGAATTATCTGAATCCAAACAGAGCTAAGGATGTTTTATCCTCTCAAAGTTGGGCCCTAAATCTAGTCCCTGCTTTATATTTGGGCCCTGCAGTTTTTTCTGTCAGATTTGTGTCTTCCAGACTATGGGCCATTCACCTACAATTGGTACCAAACAGCAAGTACCAGCCAATATCCCCACATGGCTTTCTGGATGCAGCCTGTTCCAGTCAACCTCCTCTTTGGGACCCCCTCAAGACAGGGACAGTTCTACACCCCTTGCCAGCAGGAAGCAGTTTCAGAAGGCGAGACCTTCATCCCTTACTCCAAAAGAATTTGGGGTCCCATTTGTTTGAGGGGAGAATGATGGGGTTGGGATCTGGGCCCCAGAAAGGAAAAACCCTGAACTTTCCCACATGGCCAAATCTCTGGCTTTAGCCTGAGGCTATGACCCCATCAACTAACCTTTCATTGTGGCTACACCCAATCTCCCCTCCATTGTCTTGGCCTCCATTACCTCATAGACTACATGGCCACTCCTAGATCCCTCCCACAGGCTTTCTGTATATAAGGTCCATCTTGTCTCCATTAAGATGTTTAGATTCTTATAATCTAGCCACTGTTCAGACTCCTTAAGAGTCTGCCCAATATGACGATGTTCTAATAAACCTTGTTTTTGGCTGGGGAAAAAAAAAGCCATGACCAAAACAAAAAAAAGGGCTAGACATAATATTTCAAGAGGGCACAAAAGAAAACTGCGTTGATCTATTATTAGATGTGGAAATAGTAAAAAATAGAAGGAATCTATTGGTTACCTCCTGAAAGAAACTCCAAAATGAAAACTCCCAGGAACACTGAAGACAAAATCCAGAGTTTCCAGATCAAAGAAAAAAAAATTACTGAAAACAGCCAGAAAGAAAGAATTCAAGTACTGAGAGCTATGATCAGGATTATACATGATTTAGCAGCCACCACTCTAAAGAAGCAGAGAGCTTGGAATATATTACAGCAGGCAAAGGATATAGCTGTCAACCAAGAATAACATACCCAGCAAAACTGAGTTTAATCTTACGCGGAAAAAAAATGGATCTTTAATGAAATACAGGACTTCCAAATATTCCTGATGAAAAGTCCAGAGCTGTATAGAAACTTTGAAGTGCAAACACAGAACTTAAGAGAAACAAAAAGGTAAACATGAACAAATAATGATAAAGTAACTACATAAGGATAAACTTCTTATATTCTAATATGGGCAGATGATACATATGTCCTCTCTGAACCCTATCATCATCAGAGTTCACAGAGGGAGTCTAATTAGATAGAAGACCTGGAAGTGGGTGTGTATGTATGTATGTGTGTATGTGTATGTATGTATGTATGTATGTATGTATGTATGTATGTATGTGTGTGTGTGTGTATCTCTTGATGACCTTAAAAGAATGGAAAAGGGAAGGGAAGAGGAATACATTGGGGAGGAGACAGAGGAAGGAAGAATGGGGGAAATTATCTCACACAATGGCAGCATGCAATCAGAAGTCTATACAAACAAGGAAGAAAGGGTAGAGGAATGGCTGACATTTGAACTTCACTCTCTTCTGAACTGGTCAAAGGAGGGAGTAGCCACACATAGACAGTTGGCTACAAAAATACATTTCACTCAACAGGGAAACAGGTGGAAGGGGACAAGGGAGAATTAAAAGGAGGGCAGATTAAGGCAGAGATTAGCCCTAAAAGGAAAACAAATTCTAAAATAACGTACAAAAATATTTATAGCTTTTTTTGAGGTGGCAAAGAATGGGAAACTGAGGGACTGCTCATCAAATGAAGAATGGCTGAATAAATTATGGTATATAAATGTAATTGAATACTATTGTGCTGTAAGAAATAATAAAGGGGATGGTTTCAGAGAAACCTGGGAAGACTTGTATGAACTGATACCGAGTGAAGCAGGCAGCACAATGAGAACAATTTCTACAATGACAACAATACTATAAAGATAAACAACTTTGAAAGAGTTAAGAACTCTAATTAGCAGAATGACTAACCATGATTCCAGAGGACCAATGATGAAACACAGTCCCAATCTCCTGATACAGAGGTGAAAGTAGCAGAGTACAGAATGAGGCATATTTTCCTTTTGCAGATGCATAAATTTGTTTTCTTTGACTATACATGCTTGTAATATCAGTTTTCTTTTTCTTTCTTTCTCATTTGGGAGGGTGGGGTTGGGAGGTAGAAAAGATGGATTTTTGCTGATTGAAAAAAATTTAATTTAAAAAAACTTCTTTATTCTAATTTAGTGTTCTTTCCACTAGATCACACTTCCTCAAGTAGCATTTTTCACCTCCCTAATGTACTTTTCACATATAATAGCCATTCAGGAAATGGGCTGGGTCACATAGTGAGAATGAAGGACAACAGATCCCCAGCCTAAGTGATGTACTGGTAACCTTAATATATGAAAATATATAGAAAAAGGCCTCTCTGGAGAATGAGGCAACGTGGGTAAGAGTCCCACCTCTGACACTGTCTATGTGACCCAGGACAAGTCAATTTGCCTCCTGAGGCCTTCATTTTCTCATCTGTAAAGTGAGGGGGTTAGATTAGAGGCCTTTTGAGGATCTTCTAAGTAGATCTATGATTTGCTAAAGTATAAAAATAAGTCTGTTTCATGTTGCTGTGTTGCACTGTGAGCTCCATGAAGACAGGGATTATGTCATAGCAAAACTCTGTACTTTCCCCGTTCCTAAATATAGGGCTCTGAATGCAGGAAGTGCTTACTAAATGTTTGAATGAATGCACAAATGACACTTCAAAATTTACCCCATATCTGGCCCCAGCCCCCACCTCTTGATATGGGTGGACCCAGCAGGGGAAGCTGCCATGGTTACCCCTGCCCTGACTCACCCAGGGTCCAGCCTAGGCTTCCTTCCACAGGGGTGGTACGTTCATCTATGTCGTTCCCATACAGGCACAGACCTGCCTCCAGCCGCAGGCTGTCCCTGGCTGCCAGCCCTGCCAGCTTGACCTCCTTATTCTCCAGCAGTGCCTCTGCCAGGTGGATGGCCTTCTCTGCTGGCACCGAGATCTGTGTGGAATACAGGTAATATAGGGTTGTAGGAAAGAAGCTAGCTGCTTCCCAAGAGAATGCCCATGGACCCCAGGGCACAGCTATTCTAAAGCAGGCTGACGTCATACTAGCCCTGTTGTGAACTTGGGGAAAGGTAGAAGGTGTGCATGGTAGTACCTCAGGTTTTAGAGCCAGAAGGGACCTTGAAGACCATTTAGTTCATCATCATTTTCAAGGGAGGAAACTGAGGCCTAGGAGAGGAAGGAACTTGCCCAAATTTCCATAGCTCATAAACATCTGTGCTGAGATCTGAACCCACGTCCTCTGACTTGAAACAAAATGCTCTTTCCACTGTGCCCTTATGTACCTCCACACCATCCTCCCCGGTATAACCGCAGCGTGTCACACGGCAGCCAGGTATTCCAAACACATCCATCACGGCACTGGTCATGAAGGTCAGCTTCCAAAGGTCATCTGACACCCCAGCCTGCAGCACCTGGACCGCTGAGGGACCTGACATGAGGAGCAAAGGGGTCAGAGCTCTGCCTAGCACACTGTTTGGGAACCATGCCAGCTGTTGTTCTGCGGTTTTGTGGACGTATGGGGGGAAGAAAAGAGATTTAAAAGAGAGACATATTTCCTCCCTTCCTCTCACTGCTTTAAGTCCCAGGTTTCTGTGGCAATGCTTGAAAGGAATAATCTATCCTTTGCATTGCCCTGAAAGGCACTCACCTTGAAGGGCTAACAAGGCATTATCAATCACCTCCAGATTCACATCACAGCTAGCACTTCTCAGTTCTGATACCTTGTTCTGAAAGTAGAGACAAAGGCTTTGGCTATAGGGCCCTTGTGAACATGGGCCCATGTTTGGCCCCATACCCACATAGTTCTCAATCCCAATTTCCAATGCCTGCCAGGGCCCACCTCCAGGGATAGCTGTTCCCCCACCGCTACCCCCTAGGAAACAGGTCATTCTCAGGGGCTTACCAGCCATTGAATAACATCCCCTACCTGCATGAGGGCCATGTCCTTCTCTCGACACCCAGCATTGGACACCACATACAGATACTCGTTAGATGTGTTTGTCACAATCAGGTCATCTATGATACCGCCTTCTTCATTGGTGAAAAGAGTCAGTGTCCCCTATCACCAAGACCAAGTACATCACCCTCTGGTCATCAGCCCTGGCCTTGAAGCCTGGACCAAAGGATCCAAGGCTACAAAGTATACCCCCCCCAATACTACAGAGCAGAAACCATGATGTATGAGAACACCCCAATGACTGGGGCAAGCTCATCTTTTTTAAAAAAATTTTTTTCTCTATTAACAAATTAGTTTTTACCCTTTCTACCTATATTGACCTCTCCCTATCATGCCCCCATGGGAAAAAAAGAATACAAAACCCTTCTAGAAAATAAGCATTGTCAAGCAATATACATTGGCCATATCCAAAAACCTGTTCTTCATTCTGCATATTAGTCCATCAGCTCTGTGTCACGACAGGGGTAGCATTCTTCCTCATCAGTCCTCTAGAATCAATGCTGGTCATTGCATTGATCAGTGTTCTTAAGTCTTTCAGAGCTGTTTTTTTTTTTTTAACAATATTAACGTTCTAGTATAAAGCATAAACTGTTCTCCTGCACAGTGCACTAAGCAGCAGGACCATGCTTATCTCTAATGGCTAACAAGGGTCTCCTCTGTAGACAGACATCTTACTCAGGCTCACAGGACGCTGGTGCTAAGCTGTGTTTCCAGAAGAAAAGATGTGTCAGGATCGGGGGGGTATATATACTTCCTAACACCAATCCCTGCATGTGGTGGTTAAATTCCCTTCAGTTGAGTTTTGCTAATGGCCTTGATCATGCTTTTCCCCCATTACAAATAAGCCTTACTCAGAAGTACAGCATCACTACACCATTAAGATGGCCTACACGACATGGTATTCTTCCTGCTCCTTTCTTCCATGAGTACTTCAAGAACACTTCATTGGGTTGGTCTGGATACTCCCCACTCCACCAACACAGACTGAAATCCTTTCATAATTTAGAAGATGGTCTTTGAGAGTTGCCCTGGCTTGATGTTAACTTGCAGCCAACCTTGTGATGAGGCCCTCCAACTCAAGCAGGTTTGTCATGGAACCATAGACTCAGTCTGGCACCATGCCCATAAACAAAGCCCGCTAAGACCTGCCATAGGTTGAACTCCACTGGCAAAGTCTATGAGAACCAGGAAGCCTAAACACATTACAATGAGGCATCAGAATTGGACTTTAGTGAGGGGATCACCACACATACACAGCAGTTAATGTGGTGTTAGTACATCTGCTGTTGAAAATGAAATCTGTCAATGGGCCTATCCTAACGGCCTATGTTCAGCTGCAGCCCTAAGATAAAGCCCTGGTTGGGCTCACTGGTAGTACAAACTTACCTGGGGCTAAGCTCCAAGTAGCAGTCCCTCTAGTGGCAGTAAGAACACTGGTAAACTAAGCCAGTAGGCATTTATGTAATGGGGAAGAAGGAGTGAGGGAGAAACAGCTGGGAGTTGACAGGGGAGGCCCTCACCTGGTTTGGCTTTAGTTCAGCAATGTCACCAACCAACAAGCTCTCCATCAACTTCACTCGATCCTGACCAAATATCTTGGTCTTGAAAAAAGATTGAAAGATAGTTTTAGCAGCAGAGATATTATGAAGGCAGAATCAACAGGTCTTGGCAACTGACTGGATATGGAGGTAAGAGTGAGGAGTTAAGGAAAGGGACTTAGTTGACAGACTCAGCCTGGGTTGAGAACCTGTATGACTGGGAAAATGGCAGTGTCCTGGACAGTAATAGCAATGTCAAGAAGAGGGAAGGACTTTGCAGGGAAAGATAATAAGCTCAGTTTTTGGACATGTTGAATTTAAGATGTCTACACAACACCCAGTTTGATATCAATGAGCAGTTGGAGATTCGAGATGGGAGGTTGAGAGAGAAGTTAGATTTGAGACTCATCTACACAGAAATGATAATTTAACTGACAGGCACTTAAGATATAGTATTAACAAAGTGAGAAGGGAAGAAGGCCCAGGCAGAGCCTTAGGAGACACCCTAAATTGGCGGGCATGACCCAGAAGAAGATCCAACAAAAGACAGTGGGGAGTAGTAAGAGTGGTAGAAAAAGAGGTAGAAGAAAGTAATGTCATTAAAAACCTAGAGAGAAAAGGATGTTCGACTGTGTTGAAAGAGTTGCAGAAAGTTCAAAAAGAATGAGGAGTTAAAAAAAAAGTCATTAGATTTCACAATTAAGAAATTCTTGGCAGTTTTGTAGGGAGCAATTTCAGTTGAATATGAGATCGGAAGCCACAGCACAGTGAGTTAAGGGAGCAAAAAGCAGACTGCCTTCTGAAGTGAAGGTTTTATTTGTTTGAGGGTTTGTTTTTTTTTCTGAGGATAGGAGACATGGGCATGTTTGTAAGCAGCAAGGAGGCAGACAGGAGAAAAGAAGAGACTGAAAATTAGTGAGAGAGTAGAGATGACAGAGGAGACAATATGCTGGAGAAGATAAATGGAATAGGATTTACTTGTACATGTAGAGCCAGAATTCAAACTGAGGTCTGTCCTCTGACTCCAGCAACCTCATTTATTCCATTATTGATTCAGTTGCCTGGAGCCTGATTTTTTTTTAGGTACAAATATTTCCATGTATTAGCTCTCAGTCCTTTGCTGGACCTTGATTACCCAGGTGAAAATTAGTTTCTGAACTCACAAACTGGGGGCCCATGCATGGTAACCCACCCCAAAGCCCAGCCTGAGACCAAATTCAGGATTTCGGAGTAAATACTAAACCATGTGCCTACAATATATCCTCACCTACCCACAGGTCTACTGCTTAGCTTTGTCCTTCTCGGATTTCAAAATCCTGATAAAAAATAAAATCACTTCTCTAAAGTCCTCCCACTAATTAACCCTAACATTCCTTTAGCTTGGGAGGAGGGGAACCAAGGGAGGGCCATTGTAGTAGATAATCTTTAAGGTCTCTTGTGTATACAGTGCCTGACTGGCATATCCAAGAGCCTAGGGAAAACAAGGGGCCATAGTACTGAAACAGTCAGAACTGGCCCACCTCCCTCCTTTCATCCTGAACTTAGGAACAGGCCATTCACCTGCAACATGTGGGATACATCAAATAGGGAGCAATGTCTTCGGGTGTGCAGGTGGGACTCAATGTGGCTGTCCTGGTACTGCACAGGTAGGCTCCAACCAGCAAAGGACACCATCTTCCCACCATGGCTCTGATGGAAATCAAACAGGGGTGTTTTCTTCAAGGGCTCCTGCCAGGGAATAAAATCATTGGTCTGAGAAGCTGGCCTCTCCACACCTAGTTCCATACTGAGTAGGTAGGATGGAAACAAGGCTTGACTCTGCTCAGGGTCCTTTTCATACACTCTCACTTTCTCCTGGGGTCTTCTTTACTTCTGCCAGGACCCCATCTTCTCTGGGACCATCTTCCTCAGGAAGCCTTTTCCAAGCCCTCCTAATTCTTAGTGCCTTCCCTTTCTTATTTATTTCTGTTGAGGTTTAGGGGTGCTGAGACCCTGAAATAGTGACAAGCAGTCCTGCCTCGAATGAATTTGACCCAAGCCTTCTTTCAGCCAAAGGCAAGGTTTATTAGAACACCTATCAAGGTGTGCGTGATTCTAAAAATCCACCATATTGGCCAGACTCTTAAGGAATCTAAGTATCTGTATCACTAATCAAGTGGTCCAGATTGCATCTGAGCCCCTTAATGGAGGCCAACAGGGATCTTACATACAGAAAGACTGTGGGAGGAATCTAGGAGTGGTCAGTAGGCTGGGGTGACTCTGAGATAACAGAAAACACCAGGGATCTGGACCATGTGGCCAAGGGAGATAGAATCAAGGGTGGAAAGGGGCCAGGGGCAATCAGGAGGTAACAAGACAAAGAAGGCTGGCCTGGGTCAGAGGTAATAGAATTGGGAGATAGTAAGTCGCCACAAAGTTAAGGCCAGTTGAGAGGATAACTGGGATGATGCCTCAGGCAAGCGCCAGAGACTCAGCCACATGGAAAAGTTCAAGAAAGTTGGGGGGGGGGTTCCAGGGCCTAGGCCCCCTCATTTCATCTTTCTTATCTTGTATATAACTTGTTTGTATTTATTTGTTGTCTCCCCAATTAGACTGTGAGCTCCTTGAGGGCAGGGGCTGTTTCTTGCCTCTTTCTATAACCCCAGTTTAGGCACTGTGGCTGGCACACAATAAGTGCTTAACGTTTACTGACTTTTAAGCCCCATTTCCCTCTTTCATTCCCAAAACCTACATCTCCCTCCTCTTCCCTGTCTGAAGACTTGTCTCCAGGTCGGCTGATGCCCTCTCCCTAAAGCTACATCTCCTCCCCAAGACCCCGACTTGTCCCTCCCCAAATCGGTTCCTCTCCCTTTCCCTGACCATATAGACTTCTTCCCCAGGCCAAGCTCCCTTTTCCCAAACCCCCGAACCTGTGCCCTCTCTTCCCTTTCCTGCCTGTAGACTCTCCCCTACTTGTCTCTCCTCAGGGCCTCTTCCTTCTGTGAGACCGCTCCCAGGGGCTTCAGTTCCTCTCTCCCCCTTTCCTGCCTAAAGACCTTCCCTAGAACCCCCACGCGTCCCGCCCCAATCTCCCCTCTCCCCTCCCCTGCCTGTAGACCTTTCCCAGGTCGCCCTTTCACTCTTCCCCTTTCCTGAACCCTCTTGGGATACCAGCTTCTGCTTGCACTTCCCTGCCTGTAGACCCTCCCCAGGGCCAACTCCCTTCTTCCTTCACCCACCCTTCCGGAAACCCCTCTCCAAGGTTCCCGCCTCTCTCCCCCCAAGATCCCAACTACTCAGCTCTTCCTCAAGGTTTCAGCACCACCACTCCCTTCTCTGGGTTTGCAGCCTACTCTTAGGAGCCTCCTTTCTCCCCAGAAGCACCCCGCCCCCCAGGGCTCCAGCCCTTCCACTTTGTCTCCTCCCCTAGGCCGCTGCTCCGGCCGAACCCCATCCCACCTGCCCCGAACTGAGAGGCCGTCGAGCTGCTGTGGGGTGGCCACTTCGCATCCCCGCCGCACCGCTGCAAAGCGGGTCAAAGAGTCGCCAAGCCGAGCTCCTAAAGCGCTGCATCTTCAAGCCGAATAGCTAGGACTGGACCCCTCGCCTGGGGCTCTGCTCTCTGACCGCGCAGGTGCTGGCCAGCTGAGCAGCAGAGGACGGTGGGAGATGTAGTTCCGTTTCCCCTTCCCTTTGCCCTGAGGGGGGTCTTTGAGTTTCAGTCCAGTGATCTGGCAAACTCCAAGGTTTTCTTCTTACTAAACAATGGTATCAATCGCTGCTTGCTGGAACCAGATTTGGGTGCTGCCTCTGAAGCAAGGCTTCCACACCTTAGGTAAATTCATCCACCATCATTGTATTAGTATGGGTTGGGAAACATGTTTCATTACTGGAGATAAAATGATAATTTAGATACCCACCTTTGAAGCACATTTTCCTAAAGAAATTAAAAAAATTCTTATAAGAGAATCAGAAAAAGAAGAACCAGCCACTTGGACCACCTGAGAAACAGGAAGACAGTACAGTATGGCCAGTATTGTGGGAAAAGCAATATATTTGGAATCAAAAGACCCGAGTTGGAAAACCTTATCTACTTCTTACTGTGTGACTGTCAGCAAATCGCTTAACTTCTCTGAAACTGTTTTCTCATTTATAACATCACCCAGATTGCTTGGAGATAAGGGCCAGAATGGGGTATCCCAGCAACAGTTTGAAATCCTTCCCCCCTCCCCCTTTTCCCTATGGAAGCAGTGGCTTTGCTTATCCTTGTAAGCTTAAGATATAATAGTTGTCTGTTTTATTAAGCAATTTGTCAACTCATCCAAGCATACATAGTAGGAATGGTCTGCTCACCCCAACTGCATTTCTATCATCTCTTTGGCTTCTATATCTGAAACTAAACTGGTCGCTGACTTACAGGGGAATGCTTGGGTCACTGCACTGTGGTCACAGTTAAGCAAACAAGTCTGTTCGGAATGTAAAGGAACTCAGCTTTTTGAAGAGATCAAGCTGTACTTTTGATTGTGGTCAGGAGAGGACATCAGGGGGAAAATAGTTAAACTTTAATTCAAAAGGGGAGTGACAGCCCAAGCAATTAACCCTTTAGCTGCTAAGCCATCAGAAACTCCCAATTTTTAAAAAAATCCACTTGTGCCTAACTACCAATCTAGTCCGCACCCCACTACCCAAGCAAGAGCTGCACAACCAAAATGACGCAGTAGAAAGAGAACCAAACCTGGCAGGTTTCTGCTGTCCACCTGGACACAGTGGTCCAGGTTCTCTTTGTAGGGATGCTTTTCTGCTGTTAGCACCTGTTCTGGACTTAGTCCCTGAGCTCGACAGACTAATTCATGTCTGGCCAAGTACTGCAGTATTATTAGTAATAAACTTTACTGGGTGCTAGAACAAATGGGATAATACCTTATCATATTTTTTAATCACAGTAGGAAAGTTGGCTACCTATTGGAATCAGTATACTCAAAAATGGTCCCTTTTGAAGCAAGTACCAAGATGGCATGGCATAGAACTTTCAGGATTAGAAACCAGGTACAGTGTCTGCTTGGCTCAGCCTAAGCTCTGCATCAGCTGGGCTAAGTCAGACTGGGGAGGGGGAAGGAGAAGAGACAGAGACAGAGAAGGAAGAGACAGAGAGAGGAGTAATCTACTCCTAAAACGATTCCCAATCCATCCAGCTCAAGCTCTCTGTCTTAATTCCCCTCTCTCCTTCCTCCAATCTGTGGTTTGCACATTCTGACTAGGAAAAGAAATGCTGCTTTGTAAGTGACAACTTGCAGGACCTCAGGGTGCTGCAGAAGGATTCTAGTCAGTTCAAGAGGATGAAATGGGGGTTCCTCTCCCAAGTACCTTTGGGCCCTGTGTCTACTCTGGACTATAACTTAGATAATGACTACTGGCTCCAGCTTCCCATGACTAAGAAAAACCCTGAAACTTCCAAAGACCAAGACATTTAGTTTAGATTTAGACTTAGGCTAGAGCCAGGTAAGAGGTAGAGAACCAGCTCAAATTATGTCTTTTTTATGTACCTACATATGTACGTTATTATCTTCTCCATTAGAATGTAAGCTCTTCAGGGGCAGGGTCTTTGTCTTTTGTCTTTGTATCCCTCTGCACCTCACACAGTGTGCAGTACATAGGCTCTTAAAAGACTTGCTTGATTGAAAGACCTCGTACTGCTGATAGGTACGTGGACAACAGTTATACCAAAGGATGGAGTTTCCCAAGCCCAAATGAGCTCAGGATCAGAAACGAGCCACCAGTTACCATCAAGGCAATACACAGGCAAGACTGTAAGTATCCAAGAGTGTGAAAGGAGCTAGAAGGAATACACCATGTCAATACTATGCACACATTGGTTCTAAAGAAACAACATTGGTGAGTTTTTATGATGAAGCTGAGGCAGGGAAGGAGGGAAAGCTGGCATCTCAGAGTTCAGGCTGAAGCCAAGAGATGGGAGAGTTTCCACCCAGAGCTTGCACTCAAGCTGTTTATCAACACCAAGAAGCCTTGGCAGCCTCAACTAGAAGCAAAGGGGATAATGATACTCTGGGAGCAGACAAGGGACACTGGGCCTCTTTTGTTTGAGGATGGCCTTGCTCCTCAGCACGAATAAAAAGTAATCATCTCAGTCATGAACAAAGTCTGGAGGCCAAACAACCTCGAAGGTTCATGTGTAGGAGAGCAGGTTCAAGTCATAACAGCCATCCACCTGTAACACAAACAGAGCTAGTCAATCCTGGCCCACACAAGAGCTAGCGCGCTCAAAGCAGAGGCAGCTGGCCAACTCACATCAAAGCGGCCAATACGGGCTGTCGTGCGGCTGGCTCGGATCATCTCGGTCAGCATCCACATCTGCTGTACCTCTGAAGAGACCTTATCTGGGTCAGGGAGGGCTTGCTAAAAGAAACACAGCAACGATTTACGAGAAGAAAGGAGGAGGCAGCTAGAATTAAACCCCTTCTAGCTCTGCAGAGCTTCTGCTCTTGGCTCCTGGGGCTTCCACAGCCATGAGTAATAATCACAGCTTTTAAACAGGTCTAGAAGCACTGGCCGGCAGGCAGTCTAACAGAAGGCAACAGGTGGGCTGGGGCAGTGAGTGATTCCAATGTGCCCAACATAGATGTATACAGATCATTGCCATCCCAACACCAGGACAGCCACAGCCACTCCCTACTGTCACCACCCTTTTGGCAGTGCCTTTCCTTTCACTGTGTTTCTTAGGCCCATGAAGGAGTAAAGGTTTGCAGAAACTGGGAACGGGGACACAGAGGCTTCAGGAAAAAGTGGACATAGTGTCCCCAGTCCAGTTCTGATGGCATATCCACCCCAGCCGGGTTCTTGCAGAGAGAGGCCCAGCACCAGGCCAACTCAATCTGACAAACTTGCACTGATAATCTGGAAATAAAAAGCTTTGAGCTAGGTACTATGGGGACAGGGAGGAACCAGAAATATAAACAAAAGACAAACTTACTTGAAGCAGGAGCGCTGGCTGCTCATAGGGTGCTGGGTGGGAGAGCCACTTGGTAAAGGCTGATGAAGAACTCTATTAGATGAACCACCACCAAAGGAGATGGGGTTGGGGGAAGAAATGCAACATATTTAGAACAGAACTTGTTCTATTTCACTCCCATGTTCTTTCTAAAGTTTCCTCTTTCTATAGAAGGTACCATTATTCATCTAGTTACCCAAGTTCACAAGCTCAGTCATCCTCACCTTCTCTTTCTCTCTCACTCACTCCACATATCCATCCAATCAATTGCCAAACATTGTCACTTCTACCTTCACATCTCTCAAATCCATCCCCTTTCCTCCACTCACACGGCCAAGCCCAGTTCAGGCCTCACACTTCTGGCCTGGACCACAGCAATAGCTTCCTAACTGGTCTGCCTGCCTCAACTCTTTCCCTTCTCTAATCTACCCTCCATAAAGTTGCCAAAGTGATTTTCCTTTTAATGTGCAGATCTGATGGCCCTCCCCTCCATAAACTCCAATGGCTCCCTGTTACTTTTAGGATCTGTCTGTTGGGCACTTGTAGCTCTTTACAGCCTGACACCAACCTACCCTTCCAGGCTTATTACATCCAGTATTCCCTTTTAGGCACTCCTTATTTTAGCTAAACTGGCCCTCCTGCTATTACTCACAAAAGGCAGTCCAGCTGGGCCTCACCTCTGCCTCTTAAAATGGCTAGCTTCCCTCAAAGTTTAGCTCCAATGCTGCCTTCTCACAGATGTCCTCTGTTGCAACAATCGCCTTATCTTTTGTAAATACTTAAGATGTTTACCTGTTGCCTCCCCGAGTAGAAGACAAGCTCCCAGAGGACAGGAATTGTTTCATTTGTGTCTTTGTATTTGTGCTTGTATTTGTGTCAGTGCCTGGCATGGAGAGGCCTAACTCCAAGACTCCAACCTTCCCTCTCTCTAATTCAGCTTTATCATCATACAATCCCTTTAAGGACTTAGAAGGGACAGGATAGGGTTCTGCAGTCCTGACTGCACACCAGAAGACGCACATGTACCTATCAATCAAACTGATTTTGGGATACAGTTCCACACGCCAAATATCCTGCTTCTCTGAGGGTTGTCAGAGTATTCCCAGCATATCTGGTATACAATTTGCAGCCCCAGTCACAGCTATGGAACACTCACTGGCCCTGTCCTCACAATTCCCAGTCTTACTTGGCTGCTGTACCCTCACATTCCTTTCATACACCCATGCTTTTCTGGCTTTGACTTTTCATGCTGCTCGTTTTCACTCTCTGTTAGATTGTGTGTTTAGACCTTATCATATATAAATGCAGTATCTTACCTAGTACCTATCAAAGGGATCTGAACACAGTAGTAGACATTTAATAAAAATTTGTTGAATGACTCCATCCAGGCCTTGACCCAAAGTAAAAGTGTATGGTCACAGCTATAAGCACACACAAAGGAGACTGGTTTTCAAGAACTGATCCTTTCAGTATACCTCACCCCTCTGCCTTTTTGGTTTTTTAATGTTTATTGTGCCTTTGATGAGTTTAATGTGTACAGTCTAGCACAAGCCTCAGAACAAATATTATCCATCTTATCTGACAGTCTTCCTCCTCAATCAGGAAAAAGTCTCTCACCTGTGGTCCATGCTGAAAAAACTGCAATTCCTCCAACGTGAAGTTGAGCCATAGTGGGGATGGCTGCCGCAGAATCAGGCGCAGCTCCAATACCTTGTCCATGTCACACAGCATCTACACAAAGGCAGACCTACCTCCATCACCAGCACGCCTCCCATGGGGCCCCTTCCCAGCTACAGGGCCCTCAGGCGACAGGGGATAAGCAGAGGAACTACCACCCCGCCCCGAGCCCACCCTTTGAGGTGTGATAGAACTCCCTCCTACCTAGCAGTAGAGATCCTGAGGACCCGGAGCCAACCTCATTCCAACGCCCTGCCACTCGTCCTGTCTAAAAGGTCCAAGACTTTCCTAGGCTCAAAGTACCATATAATAGCTAACAAATATAGCACCTACTATGTCCCAGGCACTGTACTAAGCACTTTACAATTATCATCCATTTGATCCTCACAGCAACCCTGAGAGGCAGATGGTATAATTTTCCCATTTGATAGTTGAGAAAACTGACAGAAGTTAAGTGACTTGCCCAGGGCACGAAACTGGTATGCATCTGAGGCTGGATTTGAACTCAGGTCTTTTTGAGACCAGGCTCAGCACTCCACTATTAATTACTACTAGTTATCCACTGTACCCCCTAGCTGGCTAGTTGGTTGCTGTCCTTTCTCAAAGAGGAGCAAAATGACATCACTATGTTGGAGTTAAGTTACAGTATGTCTGACAGCAGCTGATCAGACCAATACAAGCCTGGAATGCTCTACCACAAGTCAGGCACAAATAGTCCATATGAACATTTGGAGTAGAGATGTCCAAATCTGCACACTGATGCAGGTACACCATGCTGGGCAGTCCTTTGTTAGCATCTCCCATGTCACACAATCAATTCCAAAATTCTTCAGAGAGCTGCCTACATAAAATATGAACTATCATAATCCCTTGGGCCAAATATTTTCTACTTCAGTATCTATTTCCCTAGTCCAGAAAGCATCTAGAAAGTGATTAGGCACTACAGAAATCTAACTCAAGGCTGTGGACTGGTCCAGCCTTTCTGGAAAGCAATTTAGAACTATATTTTTAAAAACCCCCCACTAAACTGTGCACATCCTTAGAACCAGTGATAGTACTACTAGTTTATATACCAAGGAGTTAAAAGAAAAAAAGGACCTACATGTACAAAAAATGATTCCAGAGGACCAATGATATACATGCTTCCCACCTCTTGACAGAGGGGTGATGGAATAGAGATGATGAATGAGATAAACATTTTTGGAGACAGCCAATATGTAGATTTGTTTTGTTTGACTATGCTTATTGGTCACAAGTGAGGTTTATATTTTTGTTCTGGAGAGTGGAGAATTGGGGAAGGGTGACAAGATAGTCATACAATAAAAGAATGATAAAAGTATCAATGAAGCAGAAAACAAATTCTCAGAGCAGAACAGAAGGAAGTTCAGAGGAAACACAGACAAGTGGGACAATATTGGAACTAAAATCCTGAATAAATTATATATGTATAAAGAAACAAGCTTTATATAATGGAAATTTTCACTTCCATGTACAATCTTCTTTTTCTGTTCTTTGTATGTGGAAATGCTCATATTTGGGGGTGTTTATCAAGTATAAAATAACCAAATAATGGTATACCCCCTACCCCTTTAAAAAAAAAAAAAGAAATCCAGCCTCTGGGTTTTCTTAGACCTTCACACTCCCTTAGTAAAGTATTTAACTTTGTTAAAAGTGAGCTTCACAGAGCAAGAAGTCAAGTCTCTTCTCCCCAGAGCCCAATCTTCACCTTAACTCCATTGGAGAGACAGTTCTCACTAACCTGATGCTTGTATAGGGACACATAGTCCTGGGCCCCTTCCTCATTGTGTGGATTGGGCATTAAACAGTAGTCTCGTAAACAGGTAATCCATTTGGTGGATGACTGGTTTGGGGAACCAACCTGGCGCACTCGAATACTCAAGAAGGCTGTGTAATAATTCTTAAAGGTGATCTCCTGTAACTGAAACACACATAAGGGCCCCTGCTAGGGCTGGCACTATTTTGGAGGAAACAAAATCAGGCCAGATCGACAAAATTTTTTACTCTATGCTCCAATGACAAATACAGAGGACAGAATCAGGACAGGGCTTTATGTATCCAGGTAAGCTTTAAAAGTCCTTATATTCACAGGTAAATCTGAGTTTTCAAGGAAAATTTTAAGCTTTCACAATAACATGCAACTTGACTTCTTGGATACTTCAATGGATCTGAGATCCCATCCATGTGAGTACTCTTTCCAATGATATACATCTCAACCCAGCCAGGTCTTCTCATCCTGTGTAACTCTTATCCGTGTCCTCCTATAAATTCCACTTAATATGATAGGGGTCTTCCTCTAGATTTCTTATTGTTACATGATAACAATGAAGTACAGATTTCATTAGTCACCACTTGATCCAATTACATGACTTGCTCACATCCTTTTCCCATCATACATCTCCAATATCCTATTTGCAACTTCTATGAATTCTTCATTGGCAATGTGTTATAACCTACACTATGTGGCATTATGTGCCTCTCCATCATTCTTGAATTCTTCCCAAACCATGGTGTACTATGACTCAGAGCCACGCAGCATCACTAGAAGGATATTGATGTTAAAAAGATGGGCCTTTGTTTCAGGGGAAAAGCTTGGGTCATTAAAAGAACTTCATAATTTTTCAAAAACAATCCAGTCCATTCTCTTCCTCCTCTTCAATTCTGGGCCCCAGTCCATTACCCAGGCACAGTGTTTGTCCAAGTTATAAATACTACTAGCTCAATTCTACACATTTTCTATCCAACTGCCTATCATAACCTGATCAATCCCTCTTCCATTTGGACCCTGCTTTGCGGAGCCTGCATAAAGTGGCAAACATCTCTCTGTTTAAAGCCTCTTTTAATATTAGCAATCAGACGTCTGTCAAGCAAAGTCACTTCAACTGAGCCATCTTTCAAGCAATCTTCTGTCACTTTGACATGTGTGTAGTAGTTGTTGGAGGGAAGACTTAAAGGATCTGAGTTCTAAAATATCATAGCCCCGGACTATCAAGAAATACACAAAGTGGGTATAAACAGGCTTCAACAAATTACCAAAGAAATGTGCAGGAAGAGTAGCATTCCTTATCAGAGGTATAACCAGAAAAAAAGAGGTAGGCTGGTCATGTAAGAATTAACCAATGGAAAGCCTTGAGTTCCAAGGCAGCAAGGCTGGAGAGAGGTTGGAAGATGTGGATTCAAATTCTACTTCTGACACTCATTAGCTATGCAGCTCTGGACAATTCACCCAATCTTTCCAAGCCTTAATTTCTTCTACTGCAAAATGAGAATAATAATCTTATAGTATCTACCTTACAGGTAAGGGGTAAGGCTCAAATGAGATGCCCTATGCATCTTGCAAACTTTAAAGCACTATATAAATGGCATTTATTCTTGTTATTTTTATTGGCTCTATTGATATTAACCAACACAAATGTCAAGAGAATTAAAGGAAAAGCTTTTGGTGGACTCCCTTCTGGGGAATTTAAAAAGGACATCGGATAAGAGTAGAACAGGAGGGGTCAAAATACCCACGTAGCCCATGAGATCACAGATCCCCCCAACTTATTGGGGGATGTAGGTATTGTATCATCTGGTGAACAAAGCCCTCGAACAAAGAGAAATTATCGTTATCATCATCTTCATCATGCACTCTGCTGGGCAGCGACCTCGGAGGTCATGCGGTCCGACTTTCATTCTACAGAGAGGGAAACTGAGGCCCACAGGTGGGAGGGTACCGGGCTTCCGTCCCCACCCTTTGCACAGTACAGGCCGCTCAGGAACAGGGTGAGGGTCAGCCCGAAGCGCCGGCCTTCCTCCTCAGCCCCGCCCCAGCCCGGCCCAGGCCCAGCCCAGCCTCTGGGGCCGGCGCTCACCTCAAAGGGCCCGGCAGTGGGGAAGGTGACGTCGATGACCAGGACGCCGGGCCGGCCCTGAACCGTCCGCACATCGCCCACCTGCAGCGCCACAGCCCCCTTGATGTGACAGGGCACCGGCACCCGGGACATGGCGCCGGTGGCCGCGCATAGAAGTCTTCTGTGGTCCGAGAATCCCAGGCCGGGAAAACTACACCTCCCAGCAGACCCTGCAGCCTCACAGCAAGCTGTCCTATCAGCATTCAGTAACTTGCGAGCCCAGACCGGAAGGGCCTCCGGAAGCTCTCCTTTCAACCAATCACCGGCCCTCTCCAACCTCGTAGCCCCGCCCCTAGCTAAATCTCGGAGTCGGGCGGGGCAGAGCTGGCGGAGATTCTCAACGGCCCCCGGCCAACTGTCTAAGACTACCAACGGTCCTTTTTCGGCCGCCCCTTCGTGTCCCCTCTCCCCCCTCTCCTCGCAGAGCCCTGATCCTGATGGAAGCAGGAGGTCTTGGTTTCTAAAACCTTTTCAGTAAATGGAACTGGGGGTGCTGTTGAGACAGGGTCCCTGTACACCAAAAACAGCGATACGCACCTAGGTACTGCCGCTAGGTGGCGTAGTGAGCGACCTCCTCTCACAAAGTACCCGAGTTCAAATACTTCACCAGACACTTCCCCAGGACGAATCACTTAACCCTACCTACTGTGCCTCAATTTTCATGTTAAAGTGGGGATAATAATAATAATAACAGCATATAGTTCTCAGGTTCATTGTGTGGATTAAATGAGATTGCACGTATAAAAGAGCTTTGCAAACCTTAAAAGTGTTAATATAAATTCTAGCTACTATCGTTGGAAAGAAGGAAAATAAAGCATTCTGGGCACAAAGGGGAGTTGTTTTGTTGCAAGGATTCTTTTTTTCCCCCTTCCCCTATTAACATACTCTTAATCCACGTCAATTTTGTTCTGGGGTTCTTTTTCCGCTGACCTCACTTTGTATCACAGGATCATTTATTTCAATCAATCAAACATTTGACAAGTGCCTACTACGTGCTAAGTGCTAGGGATAAAAAGAGAGGCAAAAGATGGTCCCTGTCCTCAAGGAGCTCACAATTTTAAGATAGGAGAGACCTTTTAGAAGTCATCCTCATTTTATATATGAGAAAACCGATGGCAAATTATTTATATAGCAGATGACAGCACTGAGATGTGAAGACAAGAGCTAGCCCTCTGAATACAAATACGGTACTGTCCCCTGCCCCACTCTCCATTGTCTCAAGGAACCATTCTTTCTTCAAAAAAAACCCTGAATTTCTTCATGTTTGTCCTGTTCATGACACAGTAATAGCCCATTCCATGGATAGACCACAGTTTTTTTGGCCATTCCCAAATCTTTGGACATACAGATTGTTTCCTGTTTACCACTAGTACAGTTAAAACCTTTTAATATTTTGACACATCAATCTTTTTTTTTCTTTTAATAAAAAAAGTCATCATATTTTAATAAAAGATAAAGTTTATCCTTAGGACAAAATCCCAATAGCTCCTGAGCCAAGATTATGACACTGTGCCCTTCTAACCTAATGGTATGGCATTCTTAGGATAGTACTGAATATTTTATTTATTCTTCTTTGCCTCCTTAGCTTTGCTTGCCTCGCCTTTATTAAGAGCCTTGCCTACAATGAGATTAGTGGAGTCAAAGGTTTGTTTTCCTAGGCCAATTTGACATTATCAAATTCCTTTTGAAAAGGTTTGAAACAGCCTAATAGTTAAAAAGTGGGAGAGTGCCTGTTTCTCCATAGCAATGTCAACAATGAATTATGGTTTTTTTAAGTTATTTTTTGCCAGTTTGGTAGATTTGAGATATAATCTCAAAGGTTGCTTTGATTTGCATTTCTTTATTATTGAAGAGTTTGAACAATTTTTTAAGTGATCAGATTTGTATATCCCCCTCCAAAAAGTTCATGTCCTTTGACCACTTCTGCTTCATAGAATGAAAATCACTTTTGTATTATATTTGTATATGTATATATTTATATTATAAATCATAAATATATAAGTTTCTCTCAGTTCAATAAGGAATCTAAATATTAGATTTTTATGTAGGTTTACTGTCATTTTTGATAATGATAACATCTTGCACTTTTATATTTTCCTTTTTGCTTTTTCATATATTTTTTCCTCATCAACATATCTGGATGATTACAATAGCTTCCTAACCATTCTCTCTTTCCCAAGTTCTCCTGTTTCTCCCATTCCAACCCATCCTTATACATCCTGCCTGAGTAATCTAACAGACTCCAGAAATAATCACATCCCTTCCCTAACCAAATACCTCTAGTGACGTCTTCCCTGCTCAACCTGCCATTCAAGGCTCACCACATTTTGGTCTCAACATACCTTTCCAACTTTAATCCCCATTCTAGCGAAATTACTAGCTGTTGACTTGATGACAATAAATGGATAGCCAAATTGGAACTTAGATTCCTGAGATTTGGCTTTGATACTAAATGCCTGGGTGACAACAGGCAGCAGGTTCCTTCCAACACAGAAATCCTGTGGTTCTGTTATGTCTCCTCACATTCATTCACACAGACCCCAAACCTTAGTTTCATCTAGCTTTTCCCTTTCCCTCCTCCTCTCCCACATCCAGTCAAACACCATGCATACCTCCTCTGCAAGTCTACCATTCATGCATCACCACTCCTGCCCTGCTTGAGGCCCTCAAGCCTCTGGCCTGGACTACTACGAAAACCCAACCATTGTTCTGTTTTGCCTCCTTTCCTTCCTGATTGCAGCTTCTCCCCTTTCCAGTCCATCATTCACACAACTGCCAAAATATCGAACACTTTTCATCCTATCATTCCTCCAACTCAGAAACATGAAAGCTCCCTATTGTCTCAATACTCAATATTTAGCCTGTCACCTCAGGCCATCTACAATCTACCTCCTTTCTTATTTCACATTCCTCATGTGTTTTCTGGACCAGACTCAAATCCAGCATCCTGCCTGCTAGGTCTACGTGCATTTTTTTTTTTTTAGGCAATGGGGTTAAGTGACTTGCCCAGGGTCACACAGCTAGTAAGTATTATGTGTCTGAATCCAGATTTGAACTCAGGTCCTCCTGAATCCAGAGCCGGTGCTCTATCCACTGCACCACCTAGCTGCCCCCTTACATGCATTTTCACAAGCAATCCCACATGCCTGGAGGACACTGCCACCACATCTCTGCCCTCTATCAGAGGCAGCTAGATAGTATAGTGGATAGAGCTTTGGATGGGGAGTCAAGAAGAGCTGAGTTCAAATTTAGCCTCAGATACTTACTAGCTATACAACTCTGAGCAAATCACTTAACCTTTGTCTGCCTCAGTTTCCTCATAGCTCCTTCCTAATAGGATAAAATGAGATATTTGTAAAACACTTTGTAAACCTTAAAGTACTACTACGTAAATCTATTATTACTAAAATCCTTCCTTTCATTCAAGGTCCAGTTTAGGCCCCACCTCATCTGTGAAGCCTTCTCTAATGCCCCTAGCTGAAAGTGATCCCCCCTCCTCAAATTTCCTTAGAGTCTTTTTTTTTTTTGAGGACATAGGGTCAAGTGACTTGCCCAGGGTAACACACCTAGTATGTATTTGAGGCTGGATTTGAACTCAGGTCCCTCCTGACTCCAGGGCCAGTGCTTTATCCATGAACTTTATCTACTTCACTACCTAGCTAGCTGCCCCTCCTTATAGTCTTTTATCTGATCACTCCTTTGCTCATTTCACATTCTCCCTTTTACCACATTTGTTTGTGTATAGGTCATTTAACCTCTACTAGATAGTAATCTCCCTGAGGATGTCAACTAAGTGTTTTTCATCTTTTTATCTCCAATATCTAGACATAATAGGCAAGAAATGAACAGTGTTAAATTTGGAGTCAGCAAGATCTGCAGTTGAATCTTGCCTCAGACACTTATTAGCTACATAACCCTGGCAAAGTCACTTAACCTTCTCCAGACTCAGTTTCTTCATCTGTAAAATGCAGATAATAATAGCACCCATCTCCTAGTCTTATTGTGAACCTGAGATGAGATAATATATGTAAAGTACTTTACAAAGCCTAAAACCTTATATAAAGGCTTATTATTATTATTGTTTGGGAGCAACTAGGTGGCACAGTAGATAGAAGGCCTGGAGTCAGGAAAATTTATCTTCCTGTGTGACCCTGGGCAAGTCCCTTTTGCCTGTTTGCTTCAGTTTCCTCATCTGTAAAATCATCTGGAGAAGGAAATGGCAAACTATTCCAGTATCTTTGCCAAGAAAACTCCAGATGGGGTCATAAAGAGTTGGACACAACTGAGAAATAACTCAACAACAATAAATTACATATAATAAGTTATTTACAATTATATACAATAAATTATTTTATTGTTATTTGCAAAACTAGGTTTTCAGCCTCCAAATCCTGTCCTCTTTCCACCGTATCACAGTTGCTGGATCTTCAACGTGGTGGCCCATTTAAAGAACAATGACTTTGTGGTTCTTTGAAGAAAACACAGTCTTGGGGCAATTAGGTGGTGCAGTGGATAGAGCACCTCCCCTGAAGTCAGGAGGACCTGAGTTCAAATCTGACCTCAACCAAACACTTGACAGTAGCTGTGTGACCCTGGGCAAGTCACTTAACCCTGACTGCCTGAAAAAAAAAAGGAAACAGAGTCTATCCACAATGAGTTTATACTCTTTTATTTTTTTTTAAGTTTTAATATTGTTCTTTTCTCTTTTAATACCACTTTCACTACTCATTTATTCCACTCTTCCCTGAGCCTTCCCTTGTAACAAGTACAGTCAAAGAAGATGCTTCACATTGGCCATGTTAGAAAATGTATACCTCATTCTGCACCCATCCTTCATCACCTCTCTTGTAAGAAGTAGGAAGCATGCTTCACCCTCCAGGACCCCTTCCACTTCTCCGGAGCTGCCTTTAAAAACGTTGTAAATACATTAGAAATCTGATGGCGAACCCTTCCGTAAAGAGAAGAATCACCCAATGATTTTTCTGTCTGAAGTAGGATGTAAAGATCCCAGGCCTGATGGACTGGGCTGACTTGGGAGATTCCCCTTCACTCTTAGGGTTTCAAGAAGAGGTTAAATAGGAATATTGTAGATAGGATTCCTATTTAGGTATAAAAGTTGGCTTTGACAGAGATTCTTAATCTAACTTGTTTTAAAAAATATTTTGACAATTGTCAATTCCTTTCCTATCTTATGTATTTTAT